GCTGAGGCGGAAGGATCGCCGGAGCCCAGCAGGTCGAGGCTGCGGTGGCCGGGAGCACTGTACTCCAATCTGGGGGACAGAGTGAGACTCCGACTGGAAAAAAAAAACGCAGCTGGGCGTAGTGCATGCCTGTAGCCCCGAAGGCTGTGGCAAAAAAATGGCGTAAATAAAGCAGGTCGAGACTGCAGTGGGAGGATACCGCTAACCTGCAGCCCGTCAGCTGGAGTGAAACGGCGACCTAAACTTCTTGATTCAACAAAACCCCCCATCTATGCAAAAACCTGCAAGTTCCCAAGAGTACATTTAAGTAAAAACCCCAATAGCAAAACAAAACCGCCGCCAAGTACTTCACCGTAGTATTAAGAAGTAATTCCCCTTCACAATCATTAGAACATAAAAAAAAAATTGATCGTCAGAAAGAATCAGATAGGAGCAATCAGGGTGGTGCAAAACCTGATTACGCGAAGACGCTAATCACGCATCATGCAAACTCCAATCATCATTTTCTAATCTGCCCTCCGAAAGGAGGAACAGGTAAGGATTATCCCACCTGACGATAACTGAAAAGCACCCGGCATTCCGTACTCAATGAAAAAGATTCCGCTAAGAACTAGGGTGAGTACGTAGCGCGCTAGTCCAAGCAGCCTAATTGTAAAAAATTCTCCCAATGCTATTTCTACATTTACTTGTAAATCTTTTAAAATATATATTTTTTATTCGGCTGCCGAAAAGAAAAGAAACCAACTCCTCCCAGGATTCTCCGCTCACTTACGGGTTGGAAATTCTAAGCATTCGCATCACTTATTTACATATCCCCACCCACTCCCTTCCGCTAGACAGCTACCGTAATAACGAAAATAGAAGCGATACCTGGTATCTTACGGTCCTCAGGTCTAGAAATCAGCTTTTATTTTTTTCTCCAGTGTTTGGCCACCCCAATTGTCCCCTGAAATCTGTATAAGTCTTGATCTTACTATAAAATATATTTCATTACAAAGCACCAAAAAAAATGCTGATAGTCCCAGAATCGGGAGGTAATAATCCCAACACTGACATCCTCCACTAGAAGCAGTTTCGAGGGTGCCTTTCTTCTTCCAGGAGTAGTAAGCGGCCTTCGCTCCTCTAGCTTTCGTCCATACGTTTCCATCAAGAAGGTGGTCAGAAGGGCTTCTTTTTCAGCCCAAAGACGGCGACGAATAATGCCATTTCAGTAACAGCTGGGAGGGCGCTGTGGAAGGCAGGTGGTGGGTTCAGGGCCCCTTCCAATGCAAAAATCCAAATCTCCAAACCACAGACCCCACCCCCAAAGTGTAGGGGAAGTGGAATTGGGGTGAGAGGTGAAACTTCAGAAGACTACAGGAAGTTTCGTGGATGTATCTAACACATGGAAGAAAGGGCATCAAGGAAACCTTCCTCCCTCATCCCCAAATATTGAGTTGCTACCACACCTGCAGAAGACAAAAATGTACCAGTACGTCGTGCACTCCCAACGCTCGAATATGAAGAAGGATAGGGCCACAGATGCACTACAGTGGGCCCCAATGGCTTGGGAGAGCATAAGAGTCAAGGAAAGTCTTTGGACTGACAAGCAGTGTTGGGCCAGAAAAGACCAGTGGTGGGGCTGGCATCTGCACTCGGGTTCACTTCTTGTTCCCTCACCAAACTACAAGGACTGCATCAGCAGCCCTGCCTTCTGACCTTTAGCAGGAGAGGCCAGAGGAAAAGCCAGAATTGACTGCAAGGATGGGACTTCAGGCGACCCCCACCGCTCCTACCCCAGCGACAAGCCTGAAGGTAGGAGTAGGCTCCCTACTACCCCAGGCCACACAAGAATGTTGACAGTGACTTCACATGGAATCAGTCTCCAATGCCCTGGTCCACTGGTCCACAACTCAAGAGTCAAAAGCCTTCCTTGATTTATGGGTTTCACTTCCGTTGTCTCTTCTGAGTTCTCACTGTGCTTTATATCTTTACACACTTCTGTAGCACAGTGCTTATCACACTGAATTTCAGATGTGTGTCTGTGTGCCTCCTCCTCAAGGAATAGAACTGTGCTTTTTTCTTTCATTATTTTTTTGTAGAGATGGGGTGAGGTATCTTGAACTCAAACGATCCTCCCACCTCGGCCTCCCAAAGTGTTGGGATTACAGGTATGAGGCACCACACGGGCCCGAAAACTGTTTTTCGCTTGTTTTCTTGAGTAAGAGTCTCACTCTGTTGCCCAGGCTGGAGTGCAGTGGTATGCTCACAGACACTGCAGCCTCGACCTGCAGGGCTTAGGTGATCCTTCTGCCTCAGCCTTCCAAGTAGCTGGAACTAAAGGCACGCGCCACCACACCTATTTTTGATTTATTGTAGGGGTGAGGTCTTGTCAGTGGCCCAGGCTGGTCTCAAACCCATGGGCTCAGGCAATCCTCTCACCTCGCCCTCCCAAAGTGCTGGGATTATAAGCATGAGCCACTTTGCCCAGCCTAATATTTTCCACTTATTGTAGAGATGAGGTCTTGCCAAGTAGCCCAGGCTGGTCTTGAACCTTGGACTCAGGCTATCCTCTCACCTCGGCCTCCCAAAGTTCTGGGATTACAGGTTTGAGCCACCTTGCCCGGCAAAAACTGTTTTATTCTCATTTTGAAATCTCCAGTGCCTAGTGCATAGCAGGGCTTAACAAATGTTTGAAGATTATATGAAATCCCCCACACATGCCAGACGCATTGGCTCAAGCCTGTAAGCCCAGCACGTTGGGAGACTGAGGTGAGAGGATTCCCTGAGCTCAGAGGTTCGAGACCAGCCTGGGCAACTTGGTAAGACCTCGTCTCTACAATAAATTAAAAAAAAAAAAAGCCAGGCATGGTAGCACATGCCTGTAGTTCCAGCTCTTGAAAGGCTAAGGCGGAAGGATCACCTGAGCCCAGCAGGTGGAGGCTGTGATGGCCCTGAGCGTGTCACTGCACTCCAGTCTGGGCAATAGAGTGAAACTCTGACTCAAAAAAAGAAATTCCTCACCCAGTCTAAGAAGATTTTTTTTTTTTTTGAGTCGGAGTCTCACTGTCACCCAGGATGGAGTGCAGTGGCACTCTCATGGCCACCGCAGCCTCGACCTGCTGGACTCAGGTGATCCTCCCGCCTCAGCCTCCCAAGTAGTTGGAACTACAGGCACGTGCTACCACACCCGGCTTATTTTTTGTTTTATTGTAGAGACGATGGCTCACCAAGTAGCCCAGGCTGGTCTCGAACCCCTGAGTGCAGGCAATCCTCTCGCCTCGGCTTCCCAAAATGCTGGGATTTCAGGCTTGAGTCACCGCTCCCGGGCAACAATCTTTTAACTGGAGAGATTGTTTGCCAGCTAGGGCAGCCACTGTTGTGTCACAAAATCCTAGTCAGGTGGCTGAAGGGAATCGGGATGGAAATGGGTCGTGTGGCAAAGGCGGGCAGGCAGAAAGGATACAGATGAGGCTCTGGGTGCTGTTGAACATGGACACTCCTGAGAGGAAACCGGCCAGCTCCACTGCAAAGAGGGCCACAGTGACAGAGAGCGCTGCCACCAGCCTGCAGAGAGGAAGGGGAATGGCTCAGGCCCTTCTGGATTCTTTTGAAACCCCTCCACTCCCACCACCTCTTCGTTCTGACCACCCCGTCCCAAGAGCTCACTGAATGTCCTGCTTCTCATAGTCTTCGGGGGTGAACCTGAGAGGCAGGCAGGCCTGGATGTTGCTGTCCTGGGAGCAGGGCGGAGAGGAAGAGAAGTCAAAGAAGGGAGGGCTGCGGGGAATGGGAGGATTTCAGAAGGGAGGAGTAGGGTTGGGCGGGACTACGCCAGGGTGGGAATGGGGGTGGGAGAAGGCAGCCGCGGGTCTTACCCGGGACCAGAATAAAGTGATGACGACCACCAGATGCGCCAGAAGCGTCAGGAAGCGAGTTGGCACGAGCCCCGAGACCCGGCCCATGACCCTCGGGGACAGGGGCACCGCCCGGAGCAGAAGTCGTTGATCTGTGAGGCTGGAAGTTCAGGAACGGCCACTCCTGAAACCTCCTAACCCGCAGGCAAAAATCTCCGACTAACGCGTCCTTCGCGCCCGCTCAGGCGCCTCCCAGTTGCCTTGGTAACTGCGTAGACGGGCGCCGCGCTTCCTTCCCCCAAAATCTCGCGAGAGCAGCAAGTCCACTAGTCGCCGCGCACTTCCGGGAGAGCGGCGGTCAAGGATCGCCTGGAGGTGGGGCTGAGTCTTCCCGGTCCCGGCTGCCGGATCTCCGCGCGCAGCCGAACCGTCTGTTCCGGAGTCTGTGCTGCGGTGCGTCTCCGCACCGCCAAATCTGCCCCCGTGGGGCCGACGAATGGACAACCCCCCTGCCCTAACCCGGGGAAACTCCGCTCCCCCGGATGACCCATCACCTTGGCCAAGTTGACCTGCGTGAGAGATGATCCCCCGAGGCTGCTGCGGCCGCCGCGCTTCCCCGTTCTCCGCATTTAGCTCCCCACCACCTCGGACCCGAAAAACAAGAGAAGCGCACGTGGAGAGGCGAGTGTCTCTAGGGGATCCGGCAGTCACACATTGCCACGGAGCCCTTGTTGGTCGGGGGACAGCTTGGTGAGGAGTGTGCAGAGTGCAGGAAACGGCCGGCGACCTTGAACTAGGATGTGGATGTTTCGGAGCGGAATAGAGCAGCGGGGCGAGCGGCGGAGGGAATAGAGCCGTCCCTGTGAGGCTTGGAGCTGGCTGGCACCAGCACTCAGCTCCGGTTTCATGATATGTTTTTTTTGTTTGTTTGTTTTTTGTTTTTGAGTTGGAGACTCACTCTGTCGCCCAGACTGGAGTGTAGTGGCCGTTCCTGGCACCGCAGCCTCGACCTGCTAGCCTCCGGCGATCCTTCCGCCTCAGCCTTACAAGTAGCTGGAATTACAGGCGCGCGCTACCACACCTGGCTAATTTTTTGATTTACTGTAGAGATGAGGTC